CACTATGTATACTTTCTTATGTATTTCATAGATTCTCTTTTAGAGCTGTTAGACCGAATTCCTTAAGACACTCGACGTCGACCAGTTTTCACAGTTCCGTAACTAACCATCTTGATGTCAGGATGGGTTCAGTCTTGTCTTCCTTTACTTTTCTCTCATTTCCACCCTTTCTAGCACCTCTCGAAACTCTTCAAAGATATATCAAAGGTATGGGTGACAAACGTTCAAAATTCCACGTTCCGTGCTTTTCCTCGACCATCACGTTTCCAGACATCTCGCATTTTGCATATTAATGGTTAAATATACATTTTATAGGTTAATGTAATGAGGGGGGGGGGAGACGGAACTAGAAAAGTTAAGAAACTGACGTTGATCACGTATAGAAACTGACGTAGTCAAATGAGAATGGATTGGCCATTACTGCTTCTCATATCTGGGTTGAATTAGAGGAGCCAATTTTCTGGTCATTCCTGTAATTAGACTAGTTTATTGCAACCGTTTTCTGTTTACATTTTTCTAATGAGCTTAGCATTGTAGCGATCACTGTCCAACAAGATGTTACGTCGCCAGAGAAGTTGTAGTTAGAATGGGTTGATAAAAGTCCCCCCCCCGAGGTACTCTGGTGCTATCGTTTTATGGTGACACCTTCCCATTACTTTTCTGCATTGTCCTATTTGTTGCTATCTACAGAAGCCTCTGGAGCTACGTCAGCAGTATTTTATCACAAGATCTCTCTTCATATGAGTTAGGGATTCAATAACTCTCCAAAAGAATAATGGTGTACAGGTGCTGAGTAATGTATTTAAATGTTATCCTCGGGGTGCATTTTACCTGAGTCAACACCTAGGTACCTATTTATTGCAAGATGAAAAAGACTTGGGACTTGCCCATGCATCTTGTGTGTGTGTGTACTCTCTCAGATTTGTGAGCGCACTCGCTCGCGCCCACAATCTGAGCACATGGGAATGTGTTACAATTATGTACGTATTTATTATGTACATGTGTATGTAAAACTCACTCCACCTTTTCTGTCCCATTTTGGTCCCAAAGGTTCCCTTGCATTAGGGGCAAGAAGACTCCTCTATCTTCTCGCTCACATGGTCGAGAAACACATGTGTTCAGGTAGGAAAGCTGAACTTTAGAGATGAAAGGTGAACATTTCACTGAGTGTTGGTGTTGGGAGAGAGGAATAAGGGAGAGAGGGGCTCGGCAGCACTCACCATGACGGCCCTTGTGGGGGCAATTGTAACTGTTTAATTGTCATAATGAGTTTGAAGAGAGGGAGGGATGGAGGGGGGGGGGGGGGAGATGGGAGGGTGTGGGAAAGGGGGTGTGGAGTGGGAGAGAGAGGGTGGATATATAGGAAGAGGGCGAGGATGAAGGGAGAATGGAGGCGATTGGTGGGGGAGGATGGCAGTGAAGGGAAGATGAGGGTGAGTGGGAGAGAATGGGGATGAAGGGAGTGTGAACAGGAGAGAGGGAGAGGATGAAGGGAAGAACAACGTGGGTGGATAGAAGGGAGAGTAGTAGGAAAACAATGGGGGTTGTGGGTGGCAAGGGAGAGAGGGAGGGAGAAAGCAGTAAGGTACGATGTTGCAATAATAAAGAAACTCTCTCCTTTATTCTCATTTATTGTTCCCGTCTATTCGTAACTCCTCTCACAATCCTCTTCAGTTCTGTCGTTTACCTCCTCTCTCTCTCTCCCCCATTTTTCTCCCTCTCATCTCGCTTTCATTGTTCGTACAGTATCCCATGAACCACTCCACGTCATCTCATTCCCAGATTCTCAGTAATTATTTCTTTCCCAGACTTATATTTATTATTTTGTGGCATTCCTTCCTCACGGTATGTTAAGTGTTGGGTTTTTACTTAGAGTTTATTGTTATTTTTTTTAACGATCATTTGCAGATAGTCGAGGAAATGTTATTAACAAGTGTATGTCTTCTCTTAGTTAAATGTTTTAAAGAAAACTGGATGCACCGGCAATGTTGCTACCTTATTCTATAAAATAGCTACTCAGCGCGAACAAAAGCTGTTTTTCCTTTCTTATTCCATCACGGAGGATGGGGGTTAAAGTTGAACAGTGCCAGCCCGAGCTGGTAGACAGTAGAACAATGCTGGTAAAGCGTGATGTTCTTGTGGTTGACAGATGGATAGACAAGCATGTTTGATCCCGATGGGACTTGTTGATGCCGATGATGTACTGGGACTACCAAAGATACAGAAGGGTACTCATTAAACTGAAAGTCAAATAGACATAACGGCAATAATTCCCTTCCCAGGGAAAGACGGGAGAATGAACTGTTGCTGGTGGAGGGTTCTTGTTCAAAGGAATTCTTCCTTTCTAGGTTAGATTTCGTTGCTTCTCACTCTCCAGATCCAGGCATTTAATAACCCATATAACCTTATACCTTTACTTTACCTTTGATGGGTTTAGAGTTTTCCTACTCCTGCAGCCTAGCCCTGGGCCAGGCTTTTGTGGTGATTGTGTTGCTGCTGGCTGCATCCTCCCCCCGCCTATCCATCACAGCCTGGATGATCTGAGATTGTTATATTAACAAGCAAGCAGGAACCACACACACAAATTATAAATACACACTCACATTATATATATATATATATATATATATATATATATATATATATATATATATATATATATATATATAAATATATATATATATATATATATATATATATATATATATAATATATATTCCACAGATAAACCAGGCAAAATATTCACCGCAGACAGCACAGAAAAATAAAACAGCCTCAAACACACAGATCACCGGATAATTAATAATAGTAGCTGGGGATGCCTGGCTGGCTCTCTCCCATCACTGCCTGGCCCCTCATGGTACATCCCCTCCCCTGTCCCTCATCCCCTGCCTGCCTCTGTAGACCCACAACAACCACACAATAGCTCGTCACTGTAGCAGGGCCGGCCACTCCATCCATTGAAGGTGCTCGTGTAGTCACCCTTTGTTTGTTCCCAAATGTTTCTCTTTCTCTTTTGCATACCTCATCTGGTGCTTCGCTCCGTCCAGTGATGCATCGTGTAGTCTTCTGCCACAGTTCTGGTTTGTGTGTTGGTCTGGGAGTTCTGTGGGTGTTCTGCCCTCGGAGAGGAGGGGAGGAAGGGGAAACTGGATGTGCGTACTACCGGGGTCAGGTTTCCCCCCTCATTTAAATACAAGGGTGCCCGGGCCCGTATATATACTGGTGTGCCCAGGCCTGGCCCTCTCCCTCTCCCTCATCCATTCCCCTCTCTGTTCTGGTCATCTTGCTTATGGTGTGTGTGTGTGTGTGTGTGTGTGTGTGTGTGTGTGTGTGTGTGTGTGTGTGTGTGTGTGTGTTGTGTGTGTGTGTGTGTGTGTGTGTAAAAACTATCGAAACTGAAAGGTTCCAATGGAAATAAGTCACTATCATTTTTAGGGTTATCCTAGGTAATTCACACTATGTATGATAATTGTACTTATGTTTACTGTACCTAAATAGACTTGCTAAGGTGTAGTGTGTGGGGGGGGGATGATGACCTGTTTACTGATGCTGAGTGGTGGGGAAGGTATTGTCAGAGATATGTTAGTGGTAGTGACTCCAGAGCTTGGGAGTGAGAGAGGCGAGGTTGAACTTCATGAGAGTAGTGCCTGAACATATCTTAACTGATGTATTAGAAATATATTGAGCGAGGATAAAGCAGATTATTGTGTTAAAAGGCGGCGGTAACGTTCTGGTGGTGGTGGTGGCGGTGGTGGTGGTGGCGGTGGTGGTGGAGGCGGCGGCGACGGTAGTGTAGCGGCACCTGTGCCACTATGGCGGCGGCACCATTATCCCATAACAAGGCACTAGTGGTGTGATGGACGTTAATATTGACTGAACCTTGGTCACCTGTGAGAGAGAGAGAGAGAGAGAGAGAGAGAGAGAGAGAGAGAGAGAGAGAGAGAGAGAGAGAGAGAGAGAGAGAGAGAGAGAGAGTGAGTGAGAGAGAGTAAGTATTAGGAACGATGATAGAAGGGCAGTTATGAAGTACAGGGAGGGGATGTAAGGGAGGGGTGATTAAGTGAGATGGTTGAAGCAGTGAAGGGAGAGAACGATGGTAGGGGTTGGGGGAAATGAGGGGAGGGAGGGCAGAATTAGAGGGAGAGTGTAAAGCAGAGAAAGAGTAAGGAAAGAGGATAGTGAAAGGAGGTGAAGGATAAGGAAAGTAAGAAAAGTGAGGGGAAAAAGTGAAAGAATGAGGGGAGGGAGAAGACAGTGATGGGGGAAGGATAGGGAAAGGGGGTGGTAGAGGGTAGTAAATAGGGTGACGGAAGGAGAAGAGTGGGAGGGGTTAGGCAGTGAGACGGTGAGAGTGAGGGGTGGGAGAGAGGGGAAAGTTGAATAAGGGGTCAGAGAATGAGGGGAGGGGTGCGAGAGTGAAAGGAGGGGTGTGAGTGAGAGAGGTGTGTGAGGAGAGGGGTGCGAGTGAGGGAAGGGGGATGTGAGGGGAGGGGTGAGCGACGTACCCCTCACCCAAGGATCAACACAGCAGCCAGCTGCTGTTTATATGATAACAATTGATAAATTATCCCTACTTGCCAGCTCTCAAGTATAACAAACAAATCACTCCAGTTATCTTGTTATCCTTCATATTTAAATTACAATATATTGTTGTTATCCCCTTATATACTATAGGAAGAAATGTTTCATGTGATACACAGTCGACTTCATGTACCAATAAAACTAATTTATCTTATAAACGAAAATTGTGAGCCAGGTGCGAGAGAGAGAGAAAACTATGACTTTTCCTGTTCAATGAAGGGATGGGTTAATGCTGAAGGACTCTTGATCCAAGGAACTGGAACTGCCTTCCCGTTCCCTGGATCAAACCTAAATACTTCCCATTTCCCCAGGCTCTGCATGACCCCTTAGGGGTTTAACACTTCCCCTTGAATATAAACTAGATTTGGTAGTGTTGAGCCAAGATGCTGACGATGACCCCTTGTGTGTGTTTACAGATCCTAAGCAGTGGTCTGAGGACCACGTGCGCCAGTGGCTCATGTGGGCCATCAAGGACTTCAGCCTGGAGGGCGTGTCCGTGCACGAGTTTCAGATGAAAGGACGTGACCTGGTGGGTATGGGCAGAGACTCCTTCCTCGCCCGCACTCCGCCCTTCATGGGCGATATACTCTGGCAACATCTAGAGTTTCTTCAGAAAGGTAAGTCTGCATGCTTATGCTGTTTGTGCGGTGTGTGGAACTATTTTCTTAATGTAGAAAAGATATCCAGTACTGTATCTTCCTGGGAATATTGAGCCAGAGGGTCGTCAGCAGCAACAACCTGGTTGACCAGACAAGAGCCAGATACGCCTGGACTAGAGCTTGGCTGTAGGAGTGGAAAAACTCTCGAAACCAAAGGAAAGGAAATATCCTAAATTTCCTTTAACAGGTAAGACAAATTGTAGATAAATATTCGAATGTGCTTTTGGTAACTTTTTCTGGGACTTAGTTCATTGACCTTTTGCATATCCATATGCTCTTGCCCTACTTACCACTAGATTGATATGGGATGCGCAATAAGCTAGTTGCTGCAGCGACAAAATATAAAAAGTGGGACCATCCTAAACGTGCTGCTTTCCTCTTCTACATACAACACATTCTCATAACGTCAGTTTTTTGACGTGGTACACAGCCTCATCTTAACGCTTAGTATTTTTATCTAAATTCTGTTTTCTTTATATAGCCAAAATTATTCTACTTCCACCCATCCCGCACCCACATTCCTTCAACTCTCCCACTTTTCCAAATCACTCACTCCCACATCGTCCCAATTCACACCTCTAAACCATTCTGACGTTAAAAATAATGATTCATTCTTAAGCTTCTCCAACATCCTATCTCATATACTCACCTTCACTGCATAAAACTGAAAAAAGCGAGAGAGGAAGGCAAGATAACAGTAGTTCTAAGACAAATTTCTTTTTCTCTCTCGTGAGGTATACTGGGATAGATAGCAAGAAATTTTTGCAGTTATGTAATACTTTTCTCAGAGGGCGATCATGCCCATTATTAGTTTTTATACTGATGTGTGTGTGTGTGCGTGTGTGTGTAATCGCCTAATTGTGGTTGCAGGGGTCGAATCATGGCTCCTGGCCCCGCCTCTTCAATAGTCACCACTAGGTCACTTCCTCCCTACTCCGTGAGCTTTATCAAATCTCTTCTTAAAGTTATGTATGGATCCTGCCTCCACTACCTCACTTTGCAGACTATTCCACTTCCTGACAACTCTGACTGAAGGAATACTTCCTAACATCCCTGTGACTCATCTGAATCTTCGACCTCCAAGTGTGTGTGTGTGTGTGTGTGTGTGTGTGTGTGTGTGTGTGTGTGTGTGTGTGTGTGTGTCATACAGACTTTTAAAGGTAAGCAATAAAGTAATGCATGGACACATTTCACCTTGGAAGTTCATGATACATGGTCACAGTTCACTGTTGAATTCATTATCTCTGTCCTGAGGTACAAGTAAGAAATGCATTACTGTACTCACCACCGTACTCATTATTAATATGATTTATTATTTTTAGTTCATTTTCCGAGCTCATTACGAAGTTTTGTGTGCTCTTAAGTTCTACAAGTATATATTCAGATGTAAAGTACGTCTACCGGTGTTCCGGTTGGAATATTTATTGTGGAAAAGGCAGAACCCTTCATAAAGTTCATGTTACGTAAAGTTCCCTTAGAATTATCAGTCTTCCAGTTCGTCTGAACAGAAAGTGAAGATCAATTCGTGTAGATATCTCCTCCTCCTCCTCCTCCTCCTCCTCCTCCTCCTACTCCTACTCCTTTCTACTCTTCCTCATTCTCTTTCTTTTCATTTTCCTCTCCCGCTGTTGCTGTTTGCTCTTACTCGTTTGTCGACTGTTTCTTATTTTCCTAGTGCTGCTTCTCGTTCCTTCCCTATTTAACAGAAATCTCTGCACACAAAGTCAAGGTTCATTACCTTCAGAAAAGTCACCAAGAACCACAAGTTTTCTCAACGAAGTGCCACTCCGTATTCCACTAGGCTACCTTGATATACCTTTGAGTTTCCAGAATTTTTTTTACTCCCGGTGCCTGTCCTTGTGTCAAGCTCGTCTGGTGCTTGTGTGGTCAATCAGGCTGTTGCTGCTGATGGTCCGCTGCTTCAAATATTCATCACAGCCAGGCCTTAAGGCCAAGGTTTTCTATGTTAACCTGTGTCTCATGGCCATCTTTAGACAATCTTGCTCTCCTGTGCGACTTCTCTGCCTCGCTATTTGATTGCGTCAGCAGTCTGTTTTTTTTCCTTCAGGCAGGCTGATAGCAGCAACAGCCTGGTTTAGTAGATCAGCCTTCGAAATCAGAAGTATGTCTCAACAATGCACATGCCACTATAGGGGTCACACAGCGCCTACCTGGAGTCTACCTGGAGGGCATTCCGGGGATCAACGCCCCCGCGGCCCGGTCCACGACTAGGCCTCCCGGTGGATCAGGGCCTGATCAACGAGACTGTTACTGCTGGCCGCACGCAATCCAGCGTACGAACTACAGCCTGGTTGATCCGGCACCGTCTTTAGTATCTGTCCAGCTCCCTCTTGAAGACAACCAGGGGTCTTCCTGTAATGCCCCTTATTGCTGGTGGGAGGCTGTTGAACAGTCTTGGGCCCCGGACACATATTTTCTCTTAGTGTACCAGTGGCGCCCCTACTTTTAACTGGGGGTATGTTGCATCGCCTGCCAAGTCTTTTGCTTTCGTATGGAGTGATTGCTGTGTGCATATTAGTGACCAGTCCCTCCAGAATCTTCCAGGTGTTTGTTATGATATATCTCTCTCGCCTGCGCTCTAGTGAGTACAAGTCAAGTGCTTCCAGGCGCTCCCAGTAGTTAAGGTGTTTGATGGAACTTATACGTGCAGTAAAGGTTCTCTGTATATTCTCTAGCTCTGCAATTTCACCTGCCTTGAATGGGGATGTTAATGTACAGCAGTATTCCAGCCTAGAAAGAAGTGATTTAAAAAGGATCATCATTGGTTTAGCATCTCTTGTCTTGAATGTTCTCATTATCCATCCTATCAGTTTCCTAGCAGATGTGATAGTAGCATTGTTGTGGTCCTTGAAGGTGAGGTCTTCGGACATTACCACACCCAGGTCCTTCACATTACTTTTCCTCTCTATTGTGTGATTGAAGTTTGTAGTATACTCGGTCTTAGTTATTATTTCCTCCAGTTTTCCATACCGGAGTAGTTGGAATTTGTCTTCATTGAACATCATGTTGTTCTCTGTTGCCCATTGGAAAACTTGGTTTATATCTTCTTGGAGCTTTGCCGTGTCCTCTGGAGCTTTGCCGTGTCCTCAATGGATGACACTCTCATGCAGATCCTAGGATCGTCTGCAAAAAGATTATTCAGTGCTGTGGTTTACATTTCTGTCTATGTCTGATATGAGAATAAGGAACAGGATAGCCTAGGGAATGGGAAGTAATCAGATTTGATCCAATAAACAGGTGAATAAATCCAGTATCTTGGATCAAAAGCTTTTTTAAGGCTCCTTTAGACAAAAGGGTCAATAAGATGGTTTTTGAAGATTGAGATACTTATGCAATAAATGGGAATCTTTACTGAAGAAACGTTTCGCCAGACAGTGGCTTCATCAGTCCAATACAAATCAGAAAAGTGTAAGGAGAAGGACTGATTACCTCAAACTCCTCTTCTCCTTACACCTTTCTGATTTGTATTGGGCTGATGAAGCCACTTTGTGGCGAAACGTTTCTTCAATAAAGATTCCTATTTATTGCATAAGTTTCTCAATCTTCATCTAGTCGGTTTTAAACCATTTATCACAAGATGGTTTTTAGTTGCCCAGCAGTGGTCCTCATCGCTCATCACGGTCTTTAGGCCCATTATTACAGCTGCAAGAAAAATGATGCGCTGGAAAATGAATCTTCAAAACAAGAAATGCCAAGCTTTTGATAATACTCGTCAGGTCACTCTCTCTCTCTTTGCTGAAATATTACTGTGTACTATCGGCCCCCTGCAAGGCAGGCGAAATTGCTGAGCTGGAATATGTGCAAAAAAACTTCACATCTTGCATAAACTCAGTCAAGATCCTAAATTACCGGGAGTGTTTGAAGTCCTTAAAACGTAGGCGAGAAACATATATCATAATTTACCCTTACAAGATACTGGAGGGATAATTACCAAACCTGCATACCGAAATTACTATTTATGAACACAGGTAGCACAGGATACCTCCAATGAAAACAGGTGAGCGATGAGTACAGAGAAACCTTAGTAAGTGTTAAAGGACCTCGACTTTAACTTCCTCTCTTCATGCATAAAGGGATTACAGTCAAACCCTTAACTGTTTTCAAGAGGGAACATGAAAGAGTCCACAAAACAGTTCCTGATGAGTGGGCTTGTGATGCATATGTTGAATTGGAGACGACAGCTTGATCAGGTCAGCAATCAGGAGGACTGGTCTGGGACTGGGCGGTCGGGGGCGGTGACCTTAGGAAGCGATTCCAGGTAAACGACCATCACACTCGCCAAAATATTCAGTGACTTGCCTATATAGGTATAAATCATTACTTTTCTTAGTGACTTCGTTTCTGTTAATGGTTCATCTCGCTTTGTAGTGGTCCATTAAGTTTATATGTGGTCCAATGAAGTTGTCAACGGTTCATTAAGATTGTCCTTGGTCCATTAAGCTTATAAGAAGTATTCCATCAGGGTTCTCCCATAGCACACCATTTTTTCTCTCTTGCGTGGGTGGTAAAGGTGGTGATACTGCTGACGTTATTCTGGCGGCGTTGCGGGCGGCTCTGCGGTCCTGTACTCGGCTCCGGTCGGCGCCTTTTGATCTTCCACCTCCAACAAGGATAAAGTAAACAACGCAAAACACACTGCTGATAACACGGGTCTCAAGGTGGACTGGGCTTGTGTGTGTTTTGTGTGTGTGTGTGTGTGTGTGTGTGTGTGTGTGTGTGTGTGTGTGTGTGTGTGTGTGTGTGTGTGTGTGTGTGTGTGTGTAAGGGGACTCGTCTCCCTCCCCCACGTCGAGCATTCATATCCCAACGGTGTTATTCAGTACATGGAATATTAGACGTCAACAGCAAATTACTACCAGCGAAGCAAGTTTTCCAGTGACTTGTCGTGGTACCTCTGTGACTTGCCGTAGGTCAATGACTGGTATCTCAGTGACCTG